TGCTTTTCAATAGTATTTCTTTGAGAAAATTTCGAACTATCTATCTCAGGGGTGCCCAAACCTTTTGCTTCCAAGGGCCAAAGTAAAAATTTGCCAGTCGGCCGGGGGCAAAATACACTGATATTTCGCATGAAACACAAATAAAATGTAGATTTGATCAAGTTCTATTAAATGCATTAATTATTGTCTATCAGTGCAAATCACAGCTGAATGAATGAAATCAACACAGTCTTAGTGAAGTGGAGACTCCAGGGAAATATGCAGGTTTGAGGAGACTACAGTACGGAAAGATTCCGGCCGGGTAATCAGGGTCCAGAGGAGGGAGATTTTCTGTCATGGCTTATTTACAGCTTAAAATCATATAAAAAACCTCTAAAAGAGAACAGAAACATACATTTTCTATGTAACTAAACTGTTTTTTAAACGCCACTTGTAAACAAATAATGTTCCTGTTAGTAAATGAAAGTACTAATTTATATTAAATAATATCATACTCCCAAATTAAATAATCTATATTTTTAACCTGCTCATGTCAGTAAACTGTTTGTTGAAGACCTTTTTCTAAACAGTTTTGCATTACTATATAGTGATTTATAATGTATAGGTTTATTGTACTAATGACATTTACTTTACAAAAGTAAAGTCTATTTTCATATATTTATTTTGAACAAAAGTTTTTAACTACATTTGAATCATAGTACTTTATCTTAGCTTTTATCAAAAAGGGGAGACATCACTGATCAGTAGATCTGGTTTTAGCACACTTTTAAACAATACATTTAAACATTAAGTAATGAATTTGGGAACATAATTGCTAACTGCATTTTCTAAACATGATCAGGTTTTAACTCTGTTTTAACTTAATATTTTTAACATAGGGCAAGTATTCTCAATTAGTTGTGAACTGAATATTAAACTAACAAAATCAGACTAGTTAACCATGATATGTTCCTTGAGTTTGTTTGGTTTTACCTAAACACAGTACAACATTTATAAACAATCAAAACAAAGTAACTGTTAAAGAGTCCGTGTTTCCGCTCCTCCAAAGGGCTCTTGAACGCATCATAAAACTCAGCGTAAGTTCTGACATTCAATGATCGCGAGTGAGGACGGCGCTTACCGGCTTCTTTCATGGGGCTGTAGAAGGGTTTGTTTTGCACAGTATTTGTTGCTTCTACTTACGTGGATTGTGCGCTGCGATCCCTGCTTGTCCTGCTTGAACTCACTCTGAAGTGTGTGTGTCCGTCTTTTTTAACACACCGGGTGGGTGCGGATTGCGCAGGTGAATAGTTCCACTCGCCATTTCCCTCCGGTGAGGAGGGGGAGTGGCAGTTCGCCAGCACAATCCTCTCAATTTGATAAAATATTAAATTGCTCAAAAAAATTATAATAGTAGGCTGAAAAAAAAGAACATAAAGGTGCCTTGCACCCAATTGTTTTGAAAGATGTGTTTGATTTTAAAAAACATTTTAGTGCAAGTAGATGTGAACCATGAGTGAGGAGTGTATCTCGATACAAGAGTAAAGTACTGGACAGTCGTGGACGGTGGTTCAGAGGACGTTGGTGCGCCTGTGCGATGTCAGACATGTCATTGTTTGTTCAGCGAGGCTGAGGGACGCAGTTAGAAACTTACAGAGGAGGTGGGCAATGTTAGGCGGGCCAACTTTGGGCACCCCTGATCTATCTATAGCCGAAAACCATTTCCTCCTAGCAGGGTGGTTGACTACAGGAAGAAGTTCTGATCGCACACATTCATCCAGATTCACACCTCTAGACCCCTCAGACAAGCAGTACTACTGCCCAGTGCCACTATGCACTATATACACAGGACAAATACACTAGTCTAATGAGCACATGTTGCAAGTGTAAGCTGCTACATGGGCTTGTCTGAGATACTCTGTCCAAGTCATTTCCCAAGTCAAATAAAGTTTGTGTGAGTACAAGTCTCAGACCTGTGTGTGCACATTTAGGTTAAAATCTTGTAAATATATATAATAATTATAATGAATAGTATGTTTGTTTCATGACGTGATCCGATTGACTACTACATCTTTAACATACTTACATACAGTCCTCACATGGGGATGGATTAACTATTCACTCCATACACAGTGGTATAAGCTACCGTTGGAACTGTTGAGCCGTTTAATATTATTTTCTGGACAGCCAGACAGGAAATTGTTACCATTCTTGAGATCCGGATCGCTTACTGTGTTGGCAATTGAGGCAACTCAATAATGCGTTTACACATGAAGCAGCCAGAGAGAAGCAAAGTTGTTCATCGGCTCCACCTACAACAGTTTCATAGGAAGAAGAGCCTTTGACTGGGGACACAGACAATATGCACTGGTTCAAAAAGGAACTGATCCTGAGGAGGGCGGATGAGTTTTCTGAGCCAGTCAGCGAGAGACAGCACGCACGCACAGAAAACAGGCTTTGATGGGTTTATTAGCGCAGCATAAACCCTTTCCCGTCCTGCCGAATATATGCATATCCTCTGGTTTGAACTGTCTCATGCTAAGGGACCAGGTCTGCATATTAGGCTTTGTACTGCACATATACTCTTAGTCTATTGAAATAAGGGTCAGAACAAAATAATAGGGTTGTCAAAAGCATTGGAGGTGAATTCATACTAAAACTATTTAAAGTAGATTCTCAGGAATGTTAAGCAGATGAAAAGAGGATCTCTGGCGGCATTGTGCTCGCAAACTGACTAAAGCGGTCATAATCGAGCAAAATATGCAGGTTTAATTTAATTATTAACTCATTCACTGCCCATGACGACAAAAGTCGTTCTATTGTATAGTGACGCTCACTGCCCAAGACGACTTAGACGACTTTTTCGTGTTATTACACGGGAGGCTGCAGTAATGTCTGGCGCACCTTGTTAATGACCCACAACACTGATATATAGTGCAAATGTACCTGTAATGATAAATCACCACCAGTAGGATGCAGTATTGCGCCACAGGAGAGGTCATAAGTCAGTGGAGAGAAGGAGGAGGAGTGTGGGGTCTTTGGAGAGCGTGCTGTGCTGCTGTAGCAGAGCGATGATAGCGTAGCATTGAGACGGATCAGATCTAGTTTAGCGATAGTATAGCAAGAGTGATGGCAAAAAAGAATAGTTATAAGCAGTATACACTGCTTCAGAGATTGACTCGCGGATCAGTGAGTGAGGTCGAGAGGGGAGAGAGGGGAGACCCGGGTGGAGGTCCGTCTCTGCAGCTACATTTGCGCGGAGCAAGAGCCCCGAGCAGAGACACACCCTCCGCCTCTCGCAGCGTATCAGCTGCTGTTGTTACTGATGCCTCGGATTCGTTCAGCAAACCTGATCATGATTTATCGGACACACTCACAAACACTCACACGCACTCACTCACTCACTCACGCACACAGACACTCACACACACTGACATTCACACACACAGACACTCACTCACACACTGACATTCACACACACAGACACGCACTCACTCACTCACTCACGCACACAGACACTCACTCGCACACTGACACTCACTCACACACACACACACTCACACAGACACTCACTCGCACACTGACATTCACACACACACACTCAAATTCACATGCTTCATTCTATTTTATACATCTATAGTTTTATTGATCTTTGTGTTGTTGTTGTTTGACGTTTTGGTTGATGGTATAGAAGAAAGTTAAATTTTCTATCTGTGAATAAATTGCCAACAATTTGCCATCAAAAGTATTATTTCAGAGTCATGTTTTTATAATTTTTGTAATGGAACAAGTGTGAAGATGTTTTGAGTTGTCACTAAAGCAGCAAAAATGCATCTAAAGTCTCTTTTCTGCTTGATATGTTCCTGTTTACATACAGCTCGTTTTCTCTGTTTTCTTGCTCAGACCAGGTGTTATGGGTGAAAGTATGCTTTGTTCTATGGCAAATAACGCAAGAACGGTAAGAGGTAGAAACAAACTGTTTTTTTCAGAGTAAAGCAGAGAGGTGAATCTTTAATTTGGTGCCCTTGGTGTTTACATCGTCTAAAAAATGAATATTCTGTGGCACTTCAAAGTTGGGTCAAATCACCTGAAATTGCTGGCAGAATGCACTTCTCAAATCTGAAAATGCCTGGCAGTCAGTGAGTTAATTGCACATTTGGCCAAAACTGAACATCATACTGAATTGCAGTTGAAGAAAATATTTTTTTGAGCTTATTTGTTGGACTGTTCAATACAATTTAATGAATGTGACTTTGCATTGTTAAATTTTTTATTTCAGCTGGTTGTATGGTTTCTCATCAATGATTAAGATGTACCATGGCTCAAAATGGTTGGGGAACACTACTTTAAACAGAAGCTGCATGGTGCTGTCTCACGTCTCTCAATGGATCAAGTTGAGTCATAAAAATGATCCAGTTTTTCCCCCACTCCTCAACTATCCTTGTGGTGATCTGCTTTATGTGAAGTGGTCCAATACGGATGATCTTCAATTATGGAAGATTTTAGTGTTTTAAAATTCGAATCCCAGCAGTGCCTTTTTACCTTGAAGATAGATAAACAGGAGCAAAATATTCATAAATAACCATTAAGGGATTTGAACCCAGATCCCAGTTCAATTCGTATCTAGGGATGAGAACATAGTCTAGTTTATTTTTTCCACTCACAAAACCCAAAAAAACGATGTAATAATATCCACCCAACCTGTTCCTTCTTTTTTTTCCACAGTGTCCACAGTGTCGCCTGGCACAGATATACAGCAACTTGTGAATCAGCCGGATGAACTCACGCGCTTGTTTCCAATGGAATAGCAAAATGATTAACAAATATCCAGGAAAAACCACAACTTTCAGATGGACCGAAAATCTGACAGAATAGTTGAGGAATGAGCAAACCGAGGAGTCATGTAGCCGCCCTGTAGAACTAAAGCAGGGAAATTGCACAGGACCTTTAACAGGGTTGATAATTAGACCTAGAGAACCTTTTTTTCAGCTGTAATCTTTGGGCACAGAGAGCGGTTTTACCTCATACTCTTCCGCCTCGATGAGCAGTTTGGCCGTGGTGATGCGAGACTCGTACGGCGGGCTCTCGATGTTCTGTGGAGAGAGGACATGGTCGGTGCCTGAATACTCGCACAAACAGCCTCAAACAGGGGCCCTCCTTTGTCTGCAGATAACGCCAACTCATTTCAAGCTACAAAAAGTGCTCTAGCGATGTGGCTGTTAATCATAGCGGAAGTGTCGGAACCCTGGATTCAGATCAAGCTGCGAGCAAAGATAAGAGTGGTGCACCAGCGGCGGCAGTGGAAATACGGAGCGCTATCATCGCCCATCCCAAATCGGTGTGTAATACCAGTAAGCGTTTATTCAGCCAAACCTCGTGCTCACCTTCAAAAAAACAACGTCAAGACTTTGTTCTGTTCAATGGGCTTTCAAAAATAAAGTGCTAATGTCTGCATACTTCTAAAACCCTCAAACTGTCTCATATTTTTCAATTCTTTGCCTCAATTTCACCAAGTTATTTACATATTGAGGCGTTTTCAAAGATTGAATGACAGTCACATTAAAGTCTCTATTTTGGTGGCAGCAATAGGCCAATTGCAAAATATATAGTTAAATAATAATTAAAATATAAATGAAACAAAAATGCATAAAAACACATCAAATAAAATATTGGAAAATGATGTTTTCGGAATATTTTGACCTTAAAATTGATATTTGCATTTGTTATGAATGATTTCAGTTTTTCATTCACATATTTTGGGGAAAACAAGATTTTTTGGCAAATCTGATTCAAGATTGAAAATCTTGTCAAATACAAATGAAAAAAAACAACAAAGAATGTATTGACTATTATGTTTACAGTTTAGCCACTGTTATTACTAAAAACAGATCAAATATAAAAAGATACCAGTATCACATTCTTCAATATACAATTTACATCTTGATTCAAGTGAAGAAGGTTTTCATATTTCATATTTTTTTTATATTTGAATTATGTTCTGTCAGAAATAAAATAAAACTTCTTCTGCAATGAGTGGGATACTTACAAATACAACTCTCTAGACCATGGCTGTCAAAATCATTTTAGTCTGGGCCAAATATAGAAAGTCAGAGCTGGTCAAGGCAAACAGTATAAAAGCATTATAAAGGTTTGATATTCCTTTCTAGTACAAACGTCTGAATAAAATGTGCTTACCGTTTGGATTGAACCAAAACTTGACAAAATATACAGAAGATCTATATTGAAGGTAATTGAAGACTGATAGAAAGGAAAGTGGTTAATTAATTGACCTAACTGACCTTATATGGTCGTTTCCTGAGAAAGTTATCTTTAAAATGAGGTATTCCATAGTGGCCCATTACCCTCAATACTGCAAGTTTATGAAAACATTTGAAAATCCTTTGGAAATCCTTTCAGGGGGTACTAATACTAGTTTGAGATGCCTACTCTATACGCTGTTAGAATCTAGACACTATAATGCTGAAAAAGAATGTGTCCAATAAATCACAATTATTTATTCTACCAAAGAGGAGCAGCCCTGGGGTTTTAACTCGGCATGTTCCATACAAGCCATTTATTTATTTGAAAACGTTCGGAAGAGAAAATAGGGAGAAGAACAGAACACACCTGTAAATCCTCTTCTGATGCGGCTCTCTGCGAAGGTAACCACCCAGCCACGCTCTTCAACAAGTATTCTTTGCCTTCCTGAATGAGCAGAGAATCAGTGTTCAAATACTTTAAGACGATTCTAATCCAACAATTTTAAATACAAGTTTCTTCAACCTCTATGCAGCAGAATCTCAAGGCTTTTAGAAGTTGAGGTAGTTTTGATCATGTATCAAACCAAGTGTCATGCTGCCCCCTAGTGTAGAGAAACGTGTTTTTTCCTACAACAATGTATTGATAAAAATGTACATTGGAATGGAAAAAAAATTAACATTCTCTGGACCCATAGATTAGAAGTGAAGGAATGAATAACATTTGCAGTTTAACAGAATTTACTTGATGAACAACTTTAAATAAGAATGTTTCAAATAAGTAACAGTGGATTGCTTTGAAAAGGTCTGAACTTGATTTTGTTCAATTCTGGTCAAGATAAATATTCTTTTTTCACAAGGAGAAAAATTGTGGAGGAAAGAACTCAAAGATATTGATTCCAGTTGAAGCCTATCTACAAGTTAGTTGGTCTCAAGAGTTTCATTAAATGAAGCTGTTCTGGAGTTACTTGACTCAATTGCAAACCAGGATCATTGAGAAAAAGATGTTGCAGGTTGAAGCTGAACGTTGAAACCACTACCAATTAACAATGTGATAACATTTAACTAATTGCGCGCTCTCATGTATGAGACCTCCAAGGTGAGACCTCTTTGGATCAGTTTTTCAGACAGAAAAAATAAAAATAGGACCACCCTCGAACAGTGCTCTGCTTGTAAAAGATAAAACAATAATTTCTAATATTATAAAAAACAGCATGGTGTGGTCGGATTTGTTCACAAAACTTACTTAAACTAAACTTTAATGAAACTAAAGTAAAAGTGTTAAACCAGGCAAGTTGGTTTAAAAAGATGTATATTATTCTCACTGCATTTTCAAGAGTAAAAAAAAACACAAGATGAAGGAGCAGGAATAACAGTTCTCACTTCCTAAAAATACTGAAGATGCGGTTCCGACTTGTGTTTCAAAAAAAAGGTACAGGAAAAGAGATTGAAAAAAAAGAGAAAAAAAGAACATTTGATAAATAATTAAACTATATACACTATAAAATTGTAGAAAATGTCCCTTTTGTCTGTGCTTCCATCACTAACTGGGTGCGACCTCAGAAGATTGACCCAGTAATTGACTTGCTTCTGGTCAATCTCTCCGTGTGCTCATGTTAATATGAGGCCTCATCTGTTAAGAAAGTGCATACAATCCAATTTGCTGGGAATAATTAAGTCAGCAGAATCCAGCCCTAACGAGGGGGGAGGCTGCGGGCCCGACCTGGTTCCTCTCCACGCTGAACAGGTAACTCGCCATGAGCTGTAGGGCCTCCGGGTTGTCATGGCGATAGTGCAACGCTCGCTCGATGAAGCCCTTGCATTTGTCCGCAGCCCCCTCCTCCATACTGAAACGCACACACAAAAGGCCCGCGAAAGGGGAAAACAAAGTAAAGACAATATGTAACGAACATGTTGCAGTCCCCGGGTTTCAGAAATATTAGGATAAAAAAGGATGAAAACTTAATATATTTCAAGAATGGGGGGGGGAGCCCTAAAATGCATTTTTATTAAATATTTGATTATGTCTTATTGATTTAGTAAACTTCTTTCTCTTCTAGTTTCAGGGTTCCATCTTTAGTCCGTTTCACCTACATTTTCAGAAAAAAAAATCATGTTTGAACTAGGGTATTTAGAATATAAGACAATAATTTGGTCTGCTTTAATATAAAATGGTTTCTCACAAAATGAATCTATAAAGCAATAATTGTGACGGACACACGTTAATAAAAATGCATTTTAAAAGAAGTACCACAAGTCTGTCATGTAAATCTCAGCGATTGAGCAGTAGGCCACGCTGACGTCTCTCTCCGTGGGGAGGTCAGTGTCCTCTTCTGGGAAGGCAGAAGCTCCAAGCGGCACCTGGAGCATCAGGCAAAAAAAAGCATACTATAAAAAATGTACGGAATATGGTAGAAGAGCACAAGACGGATTCATATTCTAATGTAATGCAGGATTTCCCCATTAAACCACTGACTTTCTCGAAGGATTAAATCACACTAGTATTTTATGATGGTACAGTTTTTGGTTGAGTTTTATAGGCGCTCCAACATTGCCCCCTAGTGGCAATATTAAATGGGACTGTGTGAAAATGATTACTGTGCTGTAGAATGTTAATAACATGGCATTAATACCACAGTGTTATTTATGGTGTACTGTAGTTGCATGCTTTCAAAATTGTAATAAAATAAGGGGCTCCTGAACAACTCAAACTCCTTCACTCTGCAACTATTTTGTGTCGAGTAATTCAGGGAATATCACACAGAGACATTGTGGTGTTTACAGACCTGTATTATTAATAGAAAAATGCTCATTGCACAATTGTTGTGGATGAAAATAACTTTACTTTAATCACAATTCCGTCGAGACACCCAGGTCAGTGTATGTATATTGTGGCATTTCAGTCATAAAAATATGCTAGAGTATAGTGATGATATGAATATGGCCTTACTGCGGCCTCTGCTTTCTTCTCCAGCGCAGACAGCAGAACTTGGATTCCTTTCAGATAGAAGTCCACGGCCTCTTGCCCCGCATGAATCTGCCCCAGAGACATGTACTTCCCGTGACCTGAGTCAGGGCTCAACTCCACTGCCCGATGAAAGATCTAGATCAAAGTCAAGGTGTTGCGTTTCCCGATAAAAACTACAATTTATAATTATGTAAGACAAATTGCTTGATCCAAAAGGGAAATAGCTTGGAAACAGAAGCTAAAAATGTGCAATTACTCTTAATCTCCAAGACCTTAAATCTTAACTTAAAATCTTAATTGAAGTTTAGTATCTGAAACTAGCCAAATCTATAAATAAACTAGAAACAGTATTTTATTAATTCCTAGCTTTGACTTGACTTGTATAATGAAGACTACTCGACAGAGGGGCAGCAACTAAGACTTTGATTATCGATTAATCCAGCGCTTATTCTTTCAATTGGGTGTTAAGTTGTTTAGAACGTGAATGTGATTTCTATATTTGACACAGAACTATAATTAATTTAATTTATTTATTAGATGAATAGATTTGTGCAGTTCTAGTCACTTTCTTGGTAATACCAGCTGTAATTGAATCCTAAAATCTTGTCTCACTGCACTTGTGTTGGAGGGCGTAAAGAGAGAAGTTGCTGAAATAGTTGTCGATTATTAAATCAATCACTCGTTCCAGACCTACTCGACACAGGATCAATGAGTTGAGTGATATCGACCTATATCATATAAACCTGTACTAAAAGATAAACATCCACGAGGGACAAAAGGATATTTCCTTAGCTTTAATTGCATCCCCCATCTCAGAGTAGATGTGGCCGAGCATGTCCAGAGCTTGGAGATTGGTGGCTTCCACGTCCAGAGCCCGTTGACAAAAGAGTGCTGCCATCTCAAAGTCAAAGCTGTCCATGTATTCTTCTGTCTGTCAGAGTAGGCACACATGATAAATCATTTGAATATTAGTTTAGACCAAAAATTCTAGCTCCACGTGGGCCGAAAAGATTTAATTTCCCAGAGTTTGGGTATTATTTTCTGGTATATTTTTCTGAATAAAACCAAAAGGGGGTAAAAGCTAAAGTGGTTTCAGAGTGGACAAAATCTAGAGAGAAAAAGTAATAGCAATATTTATCATCTACAGGTGCATCGCTACAGGGCAACAGTAGCTCAGTTGGTAGAGGGTCGTGCGTTCGAGCCCGACCTTCACCATCAACTCCCTCTGACTACTGTCGTTGTGTCCTTGGCAAGACACTTAACCTCTGGGAACACCAGCCACAGTGGGGCGGCTGCGGCTGTAAAGTGCCAAACTGCCGTTGTGTCCTTAGGCAAGACACTTCACCCCCATTACCTAGAATGAGTCTGGTGTGTGAGTGAATGGTTGGTGGTGGTCGGAGGGGCCGATGGGACATACTGGTTGCCTCGCTTCTGTCAGTGTGCCCCAGGGCAGCTGTGGCTACAGTAGTAGTTTAATCACCACCGTGTATGGAGTGAAAGAATAATGACATGTGAAGCGTCTTTGAGTGTCCAAAAAAGTGCTATATAAAACCGATGCATTATTATTATTATTATTATTAGAATTGATAGACAACGATCATGAGGCAGAGAACTTTTAGGAGAAAGAACTGAAACAAACACTTTGCATTTTGCAATGTTTGACATAAATATTAACATTATTCTTTTATGTTATGCATCCCCCCCTTCCTGTGCAGAAGTTATTTTTTGCTTTGTTATTGCTATTGTTTTATACTTTATTACTATTATGATGTATTAATTTTATTTTTTAACAAGGAGAGGATATTTGGAAAAAAAAAATTAAATAAATATACAAATGTGTCTTGAAAGGCTGTATGTAACATGAAAGAATTGTGAACTAAAGAAAACACTAAAAAGAAAATCAAAAGAGTAAACGTAGGTGTTCTTTACCCGCTCAGTGTGAACAGCCCCACATACACAGATCACATTACTGCATTTTCTTGGTTAGAATTACATCTTCAGCTTAATTTGACAGTTTTTGTTTATCAAAATACTCTAAAAAATAAAATATTTCAATTTTGTCACTACAGGCAATGTCAACTTTGTGTTATTGCTTAGAAATATCTGCAACAGCACAGTCCACACGGTCAGCTCGTTGAAAGTTTGTTTACCTTTTCCAAAAGTTGTTTCACAGAGTATTTATCAGCTGTCTTTTTCTTAGCCTTCACGTGCATCCTCACTTTCATTCTTTCTTGTAGCGACAACCCAACTATTGCTGGGTCTGTTTTGATACAGAAACAATAGGCATCTTATAAGTGAATCTTCATACATTAAACTGTCTCTCCGTGGTACAATAAAGTGACATTACCCGTATTTTGCCGGTTGTCTTTCCTCTTTGGCTTGCTTTTCTTCTTGCTCTTGGCCTGTCCACCCATGTTGATAAATATGTGTGATAAAATGTAATTAATTCACCACTGACAGTGGGTAATTACAGTTTCAAACGAGAACACACCAAAACACGCGTGCAAATGCATGTCCGGGACTGCGGCTGCGCAACAGACTCTACGGAAACATATTACGGACAATATTCAAAATATGCGCGCGGAGCTAGAGAGAGCATTACCATGGTTCTAAAATATCTACAGATCCATATTCTGGACACAACAAATCAAAATGTGGTATTCAAGAAGCACTGAATGCCACAGAATTGAAATCCTGCAATCCTTATTAAAAGCAAAATAATACTCAAATTACTTTGGCTCTAAATTGTGCTTGCATCACCTTTTTCAGAGCAATAGCTATATTGTTTAAAACAGTTTATAGGTAGGTGCTAATATCTCATTATTCTAGTAATTTGATGACATTTTATGAAGAACTTCTTTACGTGCCTTCCTAGGTTGTGACTTCCTGTTACTTGCAATGGGTTATTTGCAAATTAAAAACAATTCTGATTCTTAGGCAGTTCTACCCACACCACCACAAGCTAGAAAAGCCACATGACAGAAAAGTTAGTAAAACAATACATTTTGGACCTATATTTTTGCAAAGCATCAATAACTTGAATGAAGATCTATATTATGATAATAAAGTCATATATCATTCCTTTCTTTTCGTATTTCTTAACCTTCATTTTACTTTTGAATGTGCTAAAACAGTAGCAGTTTTCAGAGCAGTTTTGTGGTCTATGCCTTGAGCGAAAGGCCCAAAGTCATGCTCCTACTGGGGAATTCTGGGTTCGACTGTGTTTCTCAGTGTGGTATTTCATAGTGACATAATCATTTCAAACAATATATGCAACCCAACACAAGTTTACACTTATGAAAAACATTTTTTTTAATTTGTTTTAGCACATGCAGGCTCGGTCCGTGTACTTTTGCGTTCAATACATTTTTTATTTATGAAATGACCATTTAGGTGTTTTTTCATTGCTTATAAGACATATATATTATAATAACCGGATTTGGGAACGTGAAAATTCAATAATAAACCTTTTTTTATTATGTATTTAATACATTTTGGCGTCAATAGATTACCCGGAAGTGAAACAAGTGTGTTTACTCGCACGGGATTAGTATTAGCTGTGGACCCCTGATAATTTGTGATAATTGTGGAGGGCGTCTCTCGTGTACAGCGATGTGAAGAAATGAAGAGATGTTGTAACTTCTAAACGTGTACTTTATTCTCGTACAGAACCATAGTCACTCGTGACCAAACACATGTCTCCCTACGTCTCATGCCTGATGACGCACAATATAGTGGCCTATGGACGTACATCATGACATCTCCCCCTTTGAAAACAATGGAATATCCCCAAAATACAATATCTTTTTTTTTTTGTAAGAAATAAACATGTCTGTAAACACAAAAGATTATCTCTGCATCTTGCCTTATCTAAGTAAAACAATATTACTGCATTAATTTCAGAACAAAACATTTTAACAAAACTGTTTAACTTTACAGTGTGCAGTTATTGCCTGTATCTCAGAGGAGCTCTAATAACTCGGCCTCTAGATGTGACCTGGACATCTTTCCGTGGTGTTTCATGCAGTGACAGTTTTGTTGTCACAACACATTCTCCAGAATCCAACTCACTGTCCTCCTGAGTGGCATCCACAGGGCTGGTTTGTTTTGGTGAGCTCGCATGTGGCAGTTCTTGTGGTGGTAGTGGGCTGATTGAATCCGGAACTAGTTGAATGTGTCTCCTATTTCGAAGTGAAATAGTCCCATTGTCCATTTGAACCAAGTATGAACGTGGCTCATCACTCTTTCCAAGAACTTTTCCTGAAGATTTCCAAGTTTTCTCTCCATCCAACTTTACTTTGACGTGTTGTCCTGGAAACAGCGCAGCCAGAGGTCTCGCTGAGTGGTGGCGGTCATGGAAGAACTTATAAGAAGACTTGGACTGCTGGTCCTTTCTCAAAATGGCTTGCTTGTCAATAGGTACACTGTTCATCTTGTTCTCCAGCATTGGCAGTGTTGTTCTGATGTGCCTGCCTGTCATAACTACGGCTGGACACACGCCTGTAGCAGTGCATGGGGTTGCTCGGTAACACATCAGAGCCAAATGCGGGTCAGGTTGTTTCAGGATGTGTTTTGCTGTTTGTACAGCACGCTCTGCGGCACCGTTTGATTGGGGAAAGTGTGGACTGGAGGTTACATGTGCAAAGCCATATTCTGCACAAAAATGCTTGAATTCCTCTGAAGTGAATTGTGTAGCATTATCGCTGACCAGCTCCAGCGGTATTCCCCATCGGACAAACATATTTTTGAGTTTGCCAATAACTTGTCTACTTGAAATATTGGACAGGTTTGCTATCTCAATGTCTCTGGAATAGTAATCTGTCACAATAAGGTAGTTTTGTTTTTCAAACTCACATAAGTCAGCTGCAATGCGCTGCCAGGGCCCTTGTGGCAGAGGGGTGGTGAGGAGAGGCTCATGTCTTTGTGAAGGTTTGTTTTCAATACAAAACCTGCATGTGGTAATAAGCTGAGTAATCTCTTTGCTGATACCCGGCCAGTGGCCACCACACTGACATCCTTGCACGGGCGCGACACTTAGTTAGTCCTTGGTGACCCTCATGTATGCGTTTTAACACATTTGACCTGAGCGGAGTTGGTATGACTATCCTGTCCTGAAACAATATTAGTCCATCTGCCTCAGAGAGTTGTGTGCGCGCTGAATAGTAACTATGAAGCGAAGGATGTAATGCCTCTCTTAAGGGCCAGCCATTCTGTATCAGGCTGGTAACTTTCACTAACTCTTCGTCATGTAGAGTAGCTGCTTGGATTTCCCTCAGCTTTTGTGGTGACACTGGTGCATTTGACACTACAGATTGCAAATGTACTTGTACCTCTTTGTCGGTGCTGCTATCACTTGTGCAGCTCAGTGGATTTCTGGAGAGCGCGTCTGCTACGGCCAGTTGTTTCCCTGGAACGTGCTCTGCAACCACCTGAAATCTCAGAAGGCGCATTAGAAGCCTTTGACACCTGGGCGGGGCTTTGTCTATGTCGTAAGTGTTAATTACAGTAATGGAACCAAAGGTTTATGATCTGTTTGCAACCTGAAACCATCCATCCCTTGTACATAGCGTGCAAATCTCTCACATGCCCATACCCCAGCTAAGCACTCTTTTTCGATTTGTGAGTATCGTTTCTCAGAGTCCGTTAAAGTGCGGGAACAGAAAGCTACTGGCTTTAACTTGCCCCCATTCTCCTGAAGTAGAGTGGCTCCTAACCCATAGCTGCTGGCGTCTGCGCTAATGACAGTCTCTCGTTGTGGATCATAATATGCAAGTGCCGGTGCTTTTACAAGCATAGCTTTAACCTCCATGAATGCTTGTTCTTGTGCATAATCTCATGTCCACCTGCTCTCCTTCCTGAGAAGTTCCGTTATTGGATGTAGTTTTGATGATAGATCAGGCAGAAAACGACCCACATAGTTGATGAGACCCAGCACCTGGCGCAGCTCTTCCACATTTGTTGGGCTTTGCATTTGGGTGATTACCTTTACTTTGTCTGGGTCCGGCTTCATGCCCTCAGCACTGATTATGTGGCCAAAGTACTGTATTTCTGACTTCCCGAAATGGCATTTTTGTTTGTTTAGTTTTAGTCCACTCTCTCTGATGGTCCTCAAAACTGCACTCAAGTGTCTGTCATGCTGCTCCTTTGTTGTCCCGAAGACTAAAATGTCATCCATCACCACGACAACCCCATCGTGTCCTTTTAGCAGCTCTGACATTTGTCTTTGAAATATTTCTGGGGCGGAAGTGATTCCGAAAGGTAAGCGCTTAAAGCAGAATCTGCCCATTGGCGTGATGAAAGTTGTTAACTTCCTGCAGCCCTCTTCCAGAGGTATCTGCCAGAATCCACATGATGCATCCAACGTTGAGAATACTTTCGCTCCTGAAAGCTTTGGGGCGATATCCTCCAATGTTGGCAACATGTACCTTTCGCGCTTTACTGCATTTTTTAGACGCTTTAAATCAACGCAGATTCTCACTTTTTCACTGTTTTTCTTTTCAACTGGTACCATTGGGGCACACCAGTCAGTGGGCTCCATGACTTCTTCAATGATATCCAGCTCTAACATGCGTTTTATTTCAGCCTCCACTTTTGGTAGAAGAGGGAACGGCACTCTACGTGGTGTAGTTAGGGAATAGGGCTCGGCATTGGCTTTCAGTTCAATCTTGACTGGGTCACATTTGAGAAGACCAATGTCCCCGAACACATCCTCAACAATGTTTATGTTATCAAGTCTCTTGACCAGACCCATTTTCTTAGCTACACTCCCACCTAACAGTTTATGGACATATGGGCTACTTATAACAGTTATCCAAAACTTGTACTTCTACGTCATGGTGCTACGTCCCTTAGGACTTCGCTAGTGGGATATCACTCGTGACCCCCAGGTCACACGCCAGAGAGATCAAAATAATTTGCTCCAATCACCAGCCACCCTCCTCTATAAATGCCCCTGCACAAGGCCGCACCCCCTCTTTCACTCTGGCGCCGTTTGAGATCTACCACAGTACTTACTTCATTCTGAGATGTCTTCCTTGTTCGTCCGAGTTCCCTTCGCCCTCCGGCGTCGGACGTCGTCGCTGGATCCAGACGGTGGAGGACTTCACCTCTGTGGGTGCCACCACTCGAGGAAGGAGGAGGATGCAACCCACGTTGTGCCCGCGGATGGACCCGTCGTCCATTACGCGACACGTGAGTGGCCTAAGCCCCTAGCAGCCAAGAGGCCTGCTCTGGGGTACGACATGTACTGCAGCGGGCAGGACTGGTCCTGGACCGGTGGTGTCCCGGACATCGAGGATTCAGTTTGCATGGCCCTGCAGCCCTCCGCATCCGTGTGGCCCGGCACCAGACCTCTCCTTCCCTCCGAGCGGGACAGGATGTCTTGCCGAGGCTGGATAGATATTATGCCAATGCGGCACAGGTCGTCACATTGGCTAACAACATGACTTTCATCACGGGGGCCCTGGATAGGTCGCTCTCCTCTGGCCAGGCGCTCAGTGGAGACCTCCTGTCACAGGCGAGGACCACCTCGGCGGCGTTCCTGCGCATGTGCCAGACGCTAGCCGTGGATGGTGACCCGGACACCGAGGATTCAGTCCGCATGGCCCTGCAGCCCTCCGCATCCGTGTGGCCCGGCACCAGACCTCTCCTTCCCTCTGAGCGGGACAGGATGTCTTGGCGATGCTGGATAGATGTTATGCCAATGCAGCACAGGTCCTCGCATTGACTAACAACATGGCATTCATCACGGGGGCCCTGGATAAGTCGCTCTCTTCTGGCCAGGCGCTCAGTGGAGACCTCCTGTCACAGGCGAGGACCACCTCGGCGGCGACTCTGCGCATGTGCCAGACGCTAGCTGTGGATGGTGGCCGCTCCATGGCAGCAGCCCAAGTCGGGGCCAGGCACCTTTGGCTTGGGCTGGCTAATATCAGGGAGGCAGAGAGGAGGCAGCTGCTGGACCTGCCTATCTCCCAGACGTCCCTTTTCGGTCCGGACATGCAGACCCTGGTGGCTAGACTGGAGACCGCAGCCAAGGACTCGGCGAGCCTAGCCCAGCACCTAGCGCCGAGGCGCGAGGCCCGCCCACCAGCGCGGAGCCAAGACAGAGGCAGGGAGCGTTCGCCCGGGAGGCGCCCTGGCCCATATCCACGCTCCATGACCTATGGTCCCCCCTCGACGAGGCCCCCGGGTCCAGACAGACACAAGGGAGGCTCGCGGGACCAACGCACCCACCGCCGACCTCCCTATGGCAAAGGAGGTCGGGGTGGGAAGAATTCTTTCAATAAAAGCCGACCGGCATTTCATCAGTACTCGCTGTCTGAGTCTCATTTGGGGGTATGTAACATGTCAAATGATCTGAATTCTGATTGTGTTACTTATCGAGCACATAACGTGGCTTCGCTAGGCCTGCAGCCCCCAGAGAAGGGTGTGCAGTGCGTTACGCGAGCCACGAGCTCCGATTCACTGGTTCATGCTATGCTCTCCCAGAGAGAGGTCAGGCGGAGGGATCTGGTGAGTAATGATGTGTGTGCTTCGGCCGAACGCGTGTTAGCATCTCTGAGCTACAAGGCTAACACGGGGTTTCCCACTCCAGGGGCTCGCCCCCCCCTCCATGAGGCAAGAGCCAGGGGGGGGCACAGCAGCCGAGTCACGTGTGGTGAGCAGTCCCGTACTTATGACGTCGGGCCTGCAGGACACGTGACCGCCCCCGGCGCTCACGGTGTGACGCAGGGGGCCCCCCGGCCCTTTCGGCCACCCCCCCTCCCTGCTAGGAACACCAGGAGAGGGCGGGGCCGTGACGTCTCGTGTTCCAGCTCCCGTTCTGCCCCTCACAGACTTCTACAGCATCTGGAGGGAGCAGGGTTTGCTAACAGATATATGGCTGGAGAAAACATTGCGCAGGGGTTACGCACTGCAATTCTTCCGAAAGCCACCACCATTCCGAGGCGTACGGGCAGTACGCTCTCAGGTACGGGGATCAATAGAGGCACTGCAAGCGGAGGTCTCCTCTCTGCTGAGTCGAGGCGCAGCAGTGGAGGTAGACCCGCACGACGCCACCAGGGGGCTGTACTCCCCTTACTTCTTAGTGCCAAAGAAGTCAGGCGGGGTGCGTCCCATTCTGGATCTGCGCGTGTTGAACGAGTGCATTTCCAAACGGCAGTTTCGGATGCTGTCCACAAAACAGCTCCTCGAGTGTGTCAGGCAGGGAGACTGGATGACATCCATAGACCTGACAGATGCGTACTTCCACGTGCCCATAGTGCCAGAACACAGGAGGTTTCTGCGCTTCGCAGTGGGAGAGAGGAATTACGAGTACTGCCGTCTTCCCTTCGGTTATGCACTCGCGCCTCGGACTTTTTCCAAATGCGTGGAAGCGGCACTGGAGCCGCTCAGACGCGCAGGGGTAAGAATTTTAACCTACATAGACGACTGGTTAATTCTGGCATCATCCAGGGAAGTGGCCGTGAGTCACACGCACTGGGTCCTGTCCCACATACAGCGCCTGGGCTTTGTGGTGAACAGGGAGAAAATTAATAGTTACCTAATGTAACTTAAGTTCTACGAATAGGTGCACGTGTTATCCCACTAGCGAAGTCCGCTAAGGGACGTAGCACCATGACGTAGAAGCAGGCTGCAACCGGCTCAGCGCATGATCTATCTCGGCCTGCAGCTAGACTCTGTGACATTCCGTGCTGCATTGTCCGTGGACAGACGGATGAACACTACCCGTCTGCCCAGGGAGGTTCTGGCGGGCCCCAGAGTCCCCGCTCGGCACCTCAGGTCCCTGCTGGGAATGATGGTGGCGGCTCATGCTGTGGTGCGGCTAGGCCTTCTCCACATGAGGGATTTTCAGAGGTGGTTCTCACGCCTCAGGCTTCACCCCTCCTGGGACGGGGGGAGGCTGATCTGGGTTCCCCAAGTGGCAGCATCGAACATCAGGTTCTGGCTCACTCCGAGTCTATTGCGGGACGGAGTGACTCTGGCCTGCGCCGTGTCTCACGTGGAGGTGTTCACGGACGCGTCGCTCGAAGGATGGGGCAGGGTCCTCGGCCAGAGTTCTGTAGGAGGCTGCTGGTCGGACTCAGCCCGTCACATCAACCTGCTGGAGATGGAGGCAGTGCACAGGGTACTGCTGCACTATGCTCCTCAGCTGCAGGGGAGACACGTGATGGTGCGCTCAGACAACACCACAGTGGTCTCCTATCTGAACAGGCAGGGGGGCACCAGGTCCCCCGCTCTCCATCGCATGGCGACGGTGACGCTGCTGTGGGCGGCGCTTCACCTCCTGTCTCTCAGGGCGCGCCACGTCCCGGGGGTCCGGATCGTGGGGGCCGACAGGATGTCCAGGGGGGGGCCCACTCCAGGACGAGTGGGGCCTGGCCCCACGGGTAGCTGCGGAGATCTGGCGGAGGTTCGGCCGTCCAGTGGTCGACCTTTTCGCCAGTGCAGGAAACGCACAGTGCCCGTCCTGGTTCGCCTCAAGGGCCGCGGACGAGCCGCCCTTAGGCGTGGACGCTCTGGCTCATTACCCCTGGCCAGGGGGCCTGCTGTACGCTTTTCCCACCAGTGCGTCTCCTGCCGGTCCTGCTGCGGAGGATCGAACAGGAGAGGAGGTCGGTGATCCTGGTGGCGCCGGTCAGTCCGCATGCCCGGTGGTTCCCCTTCCTGAGGGGCATGGCGGTGATGGAGCCCTGGGCCCTCCCGGACGAGCCGGGGGCTCTAGTCCAGGGGGGAGGAGCCCTGTTTTCACGCCTGATAATCGGCCGCAGGCTCTGGGTTTGGAGGCTGAGAGGCGGAACCTCGTAGGCCTGGGTCTTCCCCCTGCGGTGGTGGAGACCACTCAGGGGGCGAGGGCGCCGTCCACTGTGAGGGCCTACGCCACGAGGTGGAGGCTCTTCAGCGACTGGTGCGGTTTTCGTTCCTGGGATCCCAGGCGTTGCCCGCTGGAGGGGGTCCTGGGATTCCTACAGGAGCTCTTTGACAAGGGGAGGGCTGTCGCCACCTTGGCGGTGTTTGCGGCAGCCATTACTTCGGGTCACGACGGATTCGGGGGGTTCACAGCCCGCTCTCATCCGTTGGTTAAACGTTTTCTGCGGGGGGCACGCAGGAGGAGGCCCCCGCTCCAGAGAACGCCCCCGGTTTGGGACCTCAGGGTGGTCCTTAGGGGGCTGTCGGGTCCGCCTTTTGAACCGGCGGCGGAGGCGAGTCCCGAGTGTGTCGCCTTAAGACGGCCCTCTTGTTGGCGTTGGCGTCTGCTAAGAGGGCGGGCGACTTGTGTGCGCTCTCTGTCCATGCGTCTTGCCTGTCCTTTGGAGAGGGCGACGGCATGGTGGTATGGTGGCCCAATCCGGCTTTTCTCCCCAAGGTAATCACGTCGGCCTTTAGGTCGAGAGTCATCAGGATTAGGGCTTTCTATCCGCCACCGCATGCCTCCCCCGAGGAGGAGCGGTGGCACCTTCTGTGTCCTGTCCGAATGCTGAGGCATTACCTGGCCATGACGTCGTCATTCAGGTTGGGTGGTCAGCTGTTTGTGTGTCTGGGCCCCAAGAACAGGGGCGCCCCGCTGTCGGCTCAGCGGCTGGCGCACTGGGTCGCCACGGCTGTGCGGCGGGCGTATCAGACGCAGGGTCTGGCCCTCCCGGTGGGCTTCAGGTCGCATTCCACGCGTGGGATGGCGGCCTCTACGGCCCTTCTCAGGGGGGTGTCGGTCAAGGACGTCTGCCGTGCGGCTTCTTGGGCGTCGTCCTCCTCTTTCGTCCGGTCTTATCTTTGGATGTGTCGGACCGGTCGGTGGCCCATTCCGTGCTGAGTGCAGCGGACTGAGTTAGACCGTTAGGTCCCTCCTCTGAGGGGGCCTTCGGTTTACTTTCCGCCCTGGTTCAGGAGTGTAGAATGACGAGTGGTCAATAGCTTTTCAGTTGCTTTATTGTGCGAACATGACACAAGCAGTTAAGCTAATAACGTTTCCAGGCTAACGTCTCTATATAACTCCGGTGCTCTTGCCGTAAAGCAGGTGCCGTAAACAGTATATCAGTATAACAGTATAACTATATATCATTTATATATGACATCTCCCCCTTTATGTACTCCCCCTAAATCAAAAGGTGAAAATAAACAAAAGTACAACCATTAACATATCAGATTACTTTTACTTTCTTTTTTTTTTTAGAAGCCCCCATAGAACAAGTCTTTCCTATAACCTGCAATAAAGTATTTGCAAGAACATAGAAGTAGTATTAGTAACAACATTAGGGTACATGTAAGTATTTTTCCCCCCCAAAGGCCATGGTGTGCGATGTGGAGCACACTTCAGAGACTACAGGTCCAGTCTCTTGACAGGTCTGCACACACGACCGGACCTGGTACACACCGGAGAGTGAGAGTTCGTAGGTGTGCATGTCTCAGCAGGAGCAGACGCCAAGGGCATAGTCTCTGGGTCGGAGAAACCAGTTGGCTGGATTGGCGCAGCCACCGCGGTCTCTGTGGGTTGAGGAAGAGGAGCAATGTCTATCGGCGCAGAGTAATCCGTACGAAGATGACGACGTTTGCGACGAAACATTACTCCTTGAGGTGTCTTGAGAATGTACGATTGCGGGGTAACGCACTCACTGGAAACAGTTGCTGGTGTCACCCAAGCTTTATCCTGGTCCAACTTGGCGACGACTGCATCGCCCGGACGCAGTGGGGGAAGCGGTCTGACCCCATGGCGGCGATTGAAGTAGAAGGCTTGTCTAGCCTTCTCTACAGCATCTTTTTTTAGCACCATCTTTTTGTTGGGCCACTTCGGATTAAGATTTTTCTCCAAAGTAGGGAGGTTTGTTCTGATCTTTCTCCCCATGAGGAGCTCAGCTGGACTGACGCCAGTGGTGGTACAGGGTGTTGACCTGTAACACATGAGAGCAACGAGCAGGTCTTCCTGTCTGAGGATTTTCTTTGCGGTTTGTACTGCTCTCTCTGCGTGACCGTTTCCTTGAGGATGGTGAGGACTAGATGTGAGATGCTTAAAGTCCATGTCCTCGGCAAACTCGCGGAACTCAGTGCTGGAAAACTGAGGCCCGTTGTCACTCACCACCTCATCGGCGACACCGAAACGAGCAAAAGTGGCTTTCAGTCTTTGAATCACTTGAAAGCTTGTAGTGGATGGCAGTTGCAGAATCTCTAAATAACGAGAATAGTAGTCTGATACTATTAGATAACTGTTTTTATTGTACTCACAAAGATCCAGTCCTATTCTTTTCCAAGGTCGATCGGGCAAAGGAGTTGAGATGAGTGGCTCCTTTTGTTGGGTGCGCCTCTGCTCCTGGCATGTGAGACATCGCATTACAGTGTTTTTCAGTTCAGCTGAAAGGCCTGGCCACCAAACTGATGAATTTGCCCTGTCTCTGCACTTTGAGAGTCCTTGGTGTCCTGAGTGTATTTTCTTTAGAATCTCTGACCTCTCAGACTTTGGGATCACGATTCTACAGCCACGTGTAACAAGGCCATTCGTCTCTGACAGTTCATTTTTCACTTTCAGATACGCACGGACGTTTAATGGCACTTTGTCTCTGTATACTGGCCATCCTTCTCTAATGTACCTAATGACGGATTGCAGTTCACCGTCACTTAATGTGGCTGCTTTAATACTGTCCATACGACTGGGAGAGGCTGGAATGCCCTGCACGACAGTGGCTATGTAACACTCAACTTCACTGTGTGTGTCCACCTCCTCCCTTGTGTAGGTCTGGGGGCTGCGTGACAGTGTATCAGCGACAACAAGTGTTTTACCTGGCATGTAAACAGCTTCAAGTTTGTACCTCATGAGTCGCATTAGCAGGCGCTGACATCTCAGGGGAACGTTGTCCAAGCTCTGGCTGTTTATGAGAGGTACAAGTGGTCTGTGATCTGTCTCTAGTCTGAAATGATCCAAACCACACAGATATTTATCAAACTTTTCGCACGCCCACACACTGGCCAAACACTCCTTCTCTATCTGGGCGTAACGTGTTTCGGCTTCAGTGAGACGTCTGGAACAATAGGCAACTGGTTTCCACACTTCCCCTTGGAGTTCGAGTAACACAGCTCCTAAACCATAGCTGCTAGCATCTGCAGACACAGTAGTTGGTTTAGTAATGTCATAAAAGGTAAGAACGGGTGCTGTTGTCAGCAGGTCTTTTATGTTCTCAAATGCTGATTGCTGTGAAGGACCCCAGGTCCAGGCATTTTTAGTCTTCACTCTCTTCAATTCCTGCACGTTTTGGGGTGGAGGCAGCTGGCTTATGGCGTCAACTTTCTCCGGGTCTGGCCTGACCCCGGAACGGTCAATCAGATGACCCAGGAATCTCAGCTGGCTTTGGTCTCAGGGAGCACTTTTCTTTGTTGAGCTTTAGGCCAGTTGATTCAATGCGACGCATGACTTTGTTTAGACGAGCGTCGTGTTCCTCCATTGTGACTCCATACACCAGGATGTCGTCCATGAAGACCTCGACTCCCTCCAGACCCTCCAGCGTCTCTAGCATTTTCCGCTGGAAGATCTCTGGTGCACTTGTAATGCCGAAAGGGAGCCTCTTGAAACAGTATCTGCCAAACGGTGTTATGAATGTTGTTAGTTTACAACTGTCCTCATGCAGGGGAATCTGCCAGAATCCACTGGCAGCATCGAGAGAGGAGAACACCGTTGCACCACTCAGTTTGGAGGTGATTTCATCAGATGTTGGGAGAATATAACGTTCTCTTTTAACTGATTTGTTGAGTTTTGTTAAGTCAACGCAGATTCTCGCTCTGCCTGTGTGTCTCTTTAAGACCGGGACCATGGGAGCACACCATTCTGTTGGTTGTGTGACAGGTATTATGACACCATTCTGCTCCATTCTCAAAAGTTCATCTTTAACCTTTTGTAGCATGGGAAAAGGAACCCTGCGTGCAGTGTGAACAGCATAAGGCACTGCATCCTCTCTTAGCAGGATTTTTACTGGTTCTGTCTTTAATGTACCATGTTCTCCATAGAGCTGTTGTGGCTGGTCCCTATTGGAAACAGCGTCTACTCTCCTCACTAGATTCATTTCCACCGACAGAGAGCGGCTGAGTAGATTGTTCACTCTTTTACCACGAACTACATACATTGTTGACATATAGTTCTTACTTTTATAGCACACAGTCACATCAAAGCAGACTAGGCACAGTAGCTCTCCTCCTGGGCTGTCCAGAGGAAGATCAGATGGCTGCAGTGGCTTTTCGGGAGCTATTGCGTGAAAGGTATTTTCATTTATGACATTAACATCGGCTCCGGTGTCAATTTTGAATTCACCGGGACAGAGTCTATGTGAAGAAGCACAGTCCATGTTTCTCCCTTTCCTTTGGGGTTACTAACTGAGCCGAGAAAGAAGGAGGTCTGTTCAGTGCTTTCATTATCCCTCACTTCATTAACTCAGTTACCACTACGACATACTCGAGCCCAGTGTCCCATTTTGTGACAGTTGTGACATGTAGCTTTTGAAGCTGGACATTTTTCCTCCTTGTTGTGGCTCGTTTTACCACATTTTCCACACTTTTTATTTGAATCGCCCCATTTTCTGTTCTTGGTCTGCATGCCCCGTTGATATGACGGTCTCCATGTAGTGTTTCTACCTTTACTCCGCACTTCTTGTACCGCTGCTGTTGTGTCTCCCTGCAGGCACACTTGAGCCGCGACCTCCTCTGATTGTCTCACATTTTGTATCGTGAGCGTTAACGTAAGGTCCGACATGAGCTGGAGTTTGCGGGAAAGTTCCTTGTCCATGATCCCGACAACGATGCGGTCACGGATGTGTTCTTCCCTGGTAACTCCAAATTCACAATGCTCTGAGAGCTCATACAATGCTCGTATGAAACTCTCTGCCTTTTCGCCTGGCCGTTGGACGCGCTGGTGAAAACATGCTCTCTCATGTATCACGTTCCTCCGCGGAAAAAAATACTCATCATATTTTGCCAATACAATCTCTATTTTATCACGGCCCTCGACTGCAGCGAACGTGAACGACTTGAAAATGTTCTCTGCTTCAGCGCCCATTGCATAGATAAGGCAGCTCACCTGCACTTTCCCATCGTCTTTGTCTAGTTTTGTCGCAATCCTGTACCGCTCAAACCGTTGTTTCCAATCTGGCCACTCTGTTGGCTTCTCGAAGGAAAAGTTTGCGGGAGGATTAAACTTGGCCATATCGACAAATTATCCGATCCAAAAATCTCTTCTCACGGCAAAAATCCTGTCCTGGCCACTTCTGACACCATGTAGAATGACGAGTGGTCAATAGCTTTTCAGTTGCTTTATTGTGCGAACATGACACAAGCAGTTAAGCTAATAACGTTTCCAGGCTAACGTCTCTATATAACTCTGGCGCTCTTGCCGTAAAGCAGGTGCCGTAAACAGTATATCAGTATAACAGTATAACTATATATCATTCACCCTTCGCTGGCCTGCTGGGAGTACATGTATACGGCCTTCGCGTTGTGTCCCACTAGCGAAGTCCTAAGGGACGTAGCACCATGACGTTAGAATTAATAGTTACTCTAATGTAACTTAAGTTCTACGAATAGGTGCGTTAGTCCCCTTAGCTACGAGCCCATCAGGCCAGCCCGGCTTGGCAGAGTTCAAGAGGGGGTGCGGCCTTTGTGCAGGGGAATTTATAGAGGAGGGTGGCTGGTGATTGGAGCAAATTATTTTGATCTCTCTGGCGTGTGACCTGGGGGTCACGAGTGATATCCCACTAGCGAAGTCCTAAGGGACTACCCACCTATTCGTAGAACTTAAAGTTATATTAGGTAACTATTAATTTTGCCCTTTGTAGTAGCTTGTGGCCAGAAACTTGCCTATGCACTGTACTTTACCTCCAGGACTTGTTATTTGGGGTGATTCCTCAACGTGACCAGACGGGGGCAGTGTTGTAACTTGTTAACTTCACTCTGTGCCATGACGGTGATGTCGGCCCCTGTGTCTATTTACTCTGCTGCCATTCACAGGTAAGTTTACCAACCACTCCTCATCTGGACCGTTTAGCTCAATCATTTTGTCCTCTTTAATTGCTCCTAAGAAAAACGGATCATGTGTGTCTGTTTCTCTGGGAGTAACAGTGACTTCTTTCAGTGTTTTAGTGTAACACGCTACCTCAAAATGTCCCATTTTGTTGCATCTTCTGCACCTCTTGTTCTTTGCTGGGCATGGCTGAGTTCTACCGTGTTGTCTCTTGCAGCGTGAGCAGCTCTGTTGTTCGCGGTGATCCTCACGTTGGTAGTGCGCAGTTGATTTACTCTTTCTATCATACTGCCGCCTGCCTTGTCTCACTGCATCCAGAGTACATTCCGCACGCATACTGATGTTCTGTTGCTTAATTTGTTCATTTTGTCTTGCTATTTGGATAGCTTTTCCAGTGTGAGCTCCGTTTCTAGCTGTAGTTTTTGAGAAACATCACTGTCGGATATGCCAATAACAATCCTGTCTAAGATTTTCTCGTCTTTTATGGCTCCAAACTCACAGTACACAGTAATATCTTTGTTGATTTTTAGTGAATTTTTCCAATTTCATTTTCGTCACTGTGAAGGGGGAAACCATATTTTTCCCAAATTCTTGCCTGTAGTAGCTAGCTTATTGCTCAAATGGAGCTACTACACCCATCAAAACTGGGAAAAATATCTTTGTTGATTTTTAGTCTTTATTAGTCGTTTTGACCTCTTGCAATTTGCAGACGGTCCCTTGCGAATATCAGGCGAATATCAAACGTTCGGCCAACTTCACCTCGGTACAAACGCCTCCACTGATTCTCCGGGCTTCTGCACTCGCTTGTAAAAGCATGCACGGTCGTGAATGACGTTGCGTTTGGGCACAAAATGCTCCGTCTTCTTCTTCTTCTTCTTCTTCTTGTGGATTTCCGGCAGACTGTGCGCCAGTCGGCGCATTGCTGCCTATTCACTGGTGGATCCAATTATTGCACCCTAGGTCCATTTCAAATTCTCGGGTACAGTCCGGTACTAAAAATAAATTCCACAAGCGCACAAAAAAAACTTCTTGCTGCTGCACATGGGGAGCAAGCAATGATCTCAGATTCACACGCTCAAAGTCCCAGGTGAAGAGCACGAGAAAACAGCAGTCTTCTTTGGTCCACATATTTCCTACATTGTAAGAGAACCATGTTTCACTGTCTCTTGCTCACTGCACTCTTCACAGGCATCTCTGTGCTTACCGATCCGATACAGGCTTTGAGCAAGCCCCACAATGACCCAGTCTCATTCTGGTTATCATAACCTGCTCCTTCCTGTTATTCCCCCGGGTTGCTTTATCCCCCCCACTAATACTCTGCTGGATGCTGTAAAAGTGCCTTCCTCTTGTCTCCCTGTCCCATGCTCTCTGCCACTGCTCACACACTCTCATTTTAATTAGATGCCGATGCTCACACACACCAAATGCCACCACCACCTCTACTCTTTCGCTCTGCAAGGAATTTTTAGCAATCCTATCCACCACCTCATTTGCATCTACCCCCACATGTGCTGGAACCCACAAAAAACCCACATCATTCCCTCCCCTCTCTATCCTACACAGAACGCTTAGAGCCTCATATAAAAGATCTGGTCTTGTTTTAGACGACCCTGCCTCCAGAGACAGCAACACAGCCGCTGAGTCTGAGCAGACAACCACACTCTCTAGTCTCAATCGCTCAATCCATTTAAGGGCCCACACTATTGCAATCAATTCGGCTGTAAAAACTCCAATTCCATCTGGGAGTCGTCTGCCCTGACTCAGGGCCAATGTTGGGCTGTGTACCCCAAACCCTGCTCTCCTTCTCTGAGGGTCGACCGACCCATCCGTATACACTTGCAGGGCACTGTTCCAGTTGGTCACCAATACCTCCCTCACAACTCTTGGGCACACACTCTTCCCCTTTCTTTAAGGCCCTCTTTAACGGACCAGTCCACCTCCACCTGAGGAAGCAGCCATGGCGGGACTGAGGGCCAGACAACCACCGGAGCCGTGTTCCTCTGCCTGAGCTCTGGAATCTCATCCTTTACCTCATAAATAAACGTTCTCCCCCCCCTTCCTCCTGTCTCCCATGTATCCTCCATCACCCTCCTAGCAGGATGCTCTTCACGTTGGCCTTGTGATTTTGCCACAAACTGGGAGGGCCAGTTTTAACCGCCTCTTCTCAAGGGACATCTCCCCTACCTCAACCAGGAGAGCTGGTACTGATGTTGTTCGAAAGGCACCACAGCACACTCTTAGGGCCTTGGCTTGAACCACATCCAACTTAGCCAGATTTGTTTTAGCTGCATTCCCATACACCAGGCTTCCATAGTCCAGAGACGACCGCACCATTTGCTCTGTAAATCATCAACAGGGTGGATTTGTCTGCTCCCAGTGTACTACCAGTCCAGGCAACGCATTACATTAATAACTTTTATTACATTTACTCACAACTTTCTCAATGTGCCCTTTCCATTGTCAGCCCTTTCATCAAGTAGAATTTTAAATAGCCAGGTCCAGTGCAACGCATACAACTACATACTACCTAACTTTTTGGCACGCCGTCAGCAGCAGCCTGGTCGCAGTGCCTCGGAAAAGCATGCGTCGCATACTTTTATGACACCGAATTAACGGGCAGAATGATGTAAAACTGCCCGCGCCGTTTACCACGATCCACACACACCTGGAGTTGTTTTTAGATCCATCTATGCTCACAATGAGACATTTTCAGATGCTCCCCCTTCATGGGAACGTCTAAGTTTGAATCTTTATGATCTGTGACGACATAGACCGAGCTATTGAGTCTTTTCATGGCCCTTTTAAACAGAGGCAGCGACTTGTCTTGGGGGTTTTACATCGCCGCGTTCACTGGACAACACTGAATGGCGTCGGTGGTCCTTACCAATCAAAAAATTAAAAGTTACCTAATGTAACTAAGTTCTACGAATAGGTCGTAGACCCTTAGGACTTCGCTAGTGGGGATATCCCTCGTGACCCCAGGTCCACAGCCAGGAGATCAAATAATTTGCCTCCAATCACCAGCCACCGTCACTCTATAAATGCCCCTGCACAAGGCGCACCCCTTTGAACTCTTGCCCGAAGCCGGGCTGGCCTGATGGGCTCGAAGTATGGACTACGACTATTCGTAGAATTAATGTTCCATTAGGTAACTTTATTCTTACGTCATGGTGCTTACGTCCCTTAGGAGAACTTCGCTAGTGGGACACAACTGCGGAGGCCGTAGGAACATGTACTCCACAGCAGGCCCAGCAAAGGGTGATTGGAGCTCCGCTCGAGCAAGACCCACACACAGTGAGAGGACTCAGGGCAGAAGAAACAATGCGTGTTCCAGGGCCACTCCATACCAAGGATACCCCACGAACACAGGACCGTTAGTCATCCGTACGTCACAGGACGCCGTCACCAGAGTCCGACGGGACGACTGGACCGACCAAACACACAAAAATGAACGCCACCTGAAGGATGCCACTCCAAGAGCTTCCAGAACCAGGCGGAAAAGTAAAAACGAAGGCCCCCTCCCCCCCCCCCCCCCCCCCCCCCCCCCTCCCCCCCCCCCCCCCCCCCCCCCCCCCCCCCCCCCCACCCCCCCCCTGAGAGAGGGACTAACGGTCTAACTCCAGTTCCGCTGCACTCAGCACGGAAAGGGCCACCCAAAAAAAACCGGGGGTGTCCGACACAACCAAGATAAGACCGGACGAAAGAGGAGGACGACAGCCGCTGAGCCGAAGCGGGGCGCCATGTCCTTGGGGCCCAGACACACAAAACAGATGACACCAACAGAATGGACGACGTCATGCAGGTAATGCCTCAGCATTCTGACGGCCACAGAAGGTGCCCGCCGTCCTCCTCGGGGGAAGGCATGCGGGTGGCGGATAGGAAGCCCTAATCCTGATGACTCTCGCTAAAGGCCGACGTGAGGACCTTGGGAGAAAATCGGAATGGGCCACCAATACCCCAAGCCGTCGCCCTCTCCAAAGGACAGGCAAGAGCATGGACCGAGAGCGCACACAGTCGCCCGCCCTCTTAGCAGACCGCAACGCCAACAAGAGGGCCGTCTTAAAATCGACACACTCGGGGACTCGCCTCGCCGCCGGTCAAAGGCCCCCCCCCCCCCCCCCCCCCCCCCCCCCCCCCCCCCCCCCCCCCCCCCCCCCCCCGACCCGTACAGCCCCCTTAAGGGACCACCCTGATGTCCAAAACGGGGGCGTTTCTCTGGAGCGGGGTCCTCTCTGCGCGCCCCCCGCAGAAATACGTTTAACCCAACGGATGACAGGGGCTGTGAACCCCCCGAATCATCGTGACCCGAAGTAATGGGCCGCGAACACCGCCAAGGTGGGCCCAGCCCGTACCCCCATGTCAACGAGCTCCTGTAGGAATCCCGACCCCCCTCCAGCGGGCAACGCCTGGGACCCCAGGAAGGAACCGCACAGTGCTTGAAGGAGCCTCCACCTGTGGCGTAGGCCTCACCAGTGACGGCGCCCTCGCCCCTGAATGGTCTCCCCCCGCATGGGGAATAGACCCAGGTCTACGAGGTTCGCGCTCAGGCCTCCAAACCCAGAGCCTGCGGCCGATTATCAGGCGTGAAAACAGGGCTCTCCCCCCTGTACTAGAGCCCGGCTCGTCGGGCGGCCCAAGCTCCATCACCGCATGCCCTCAGGAAGGGGGAACCACCGGCATGCGGGACGTCCGGAGCCACAGCAGGATCACCGACATCCTCTTTCCTGTTTGATCTCCGCAGCAGGACCGCAGGAGACGCCACGGTGGGAAAACGTACAGCCGGCCCCCTGGCCAGGGGCCTTAGGAGAACCAAGGAAGGGCATGTGCGTTTTCTGCACTGGAGAAAAGGTCGACCACAGACGGCCGAACCTCCGCCAGATCTCCGCAGCTTACCGTGGGGCCAGGCCCCACTGTCCTGGAGTGGGCCCCCCTGGACATCCTTTCGGCCCCACGTTTCCGGACCCCCGTGACGTTGGCGCGCCCTGAGACGAACAGGAGGTGAAAGCGCCGCCCACAGAAGGGTCACCGTGCCATGCGATGGAGAGCGCGGGGACTGGTGCCCCCTGCATGTTCAGATAGGAGACCACTGTGCTGTTGTCTGAGCGCACCATCCGAACCCTGATGTTCGATGCTGCCAATTGGGGAACCCAGATCAGCTCCCCGTCCGGGAGGGGTGAAAGCCTGAGGCTTGAGAACCACCTCTGAAAATTCCTATGTGGAGAGCATAGCGCACCACCGAATGAGCCGCGCCAACATTCCCAGCAGGGACCTGAGGCGCCGAGCGGGGAACTCTGGGGCCCGCCAGAACCTCCCTGGGCAGGACGGGTAGTGTTCATCCGTCTGTCCCACGGACAATGCCGCCCGGATGTCACAGAGTCTAATGCAAGACCGAGATAAATCATTGGTGAGCGGGACTGCATTTGAATTTCTCCTGTTTAACCAAAGACCCATACGCTGTATGTGGGACTGGACCGTGCGTATGACTCCGGCCACATCCTGGATGAGGCCAAAATTAACCCTTCGTCTATGTAGGTTAAAATTCTTACACTCTGCGCGTTGAGCGGCTCAGTGCTGCCTCCACGCACTTGGAAAAGTGCGATGGGCGAGTGCGTAAGCCCAAGGGGAGACGGCAGTACCGTATCTCTCTCCACTGCGAAGCGCGAACCTCCTGTGTTCCGGCGACTATCGCATGGAAGTACGCATCTGTAGGTTATGGCGGATATCCCAATCTCCCTGCGGACACACTCGAGGAGCTGCTTTGTGGGCAGCATCCGAAAACTGCCGTTTGGAAATGCACTCGTTCTACACGGCGCAGATCCAAAAAATGGGACGCACCCCGCTGACTTCTATGGCCACTAAGAAGTAAGGGAAGTACAGAACCCACGGTGGCGTCCTGGGGTCTACTTCCCTGCTGCGCTCG